ACTCAACCTGAAAAATTAGATGTCAGAAGAGTTAATGTACAGCAGGAAACACTACTACAGTACAGCTCTACAGTGATCTGTCTACTTCAGATGTAGAGACACCACCACCACCACAACATTCTTTTTGCGAGCAAGTTATAACCTAAAAGGTCTCTCATGGCCATTTGTCTACGATGATGGTAGGTTCTTACCCCAGTAAGAACCTACCACCAATAGGAATATGAAAATAAGAACTGTGTTCGAGATAAAATAGATCGTACTGAATGGAAACTTAAAATGTCAACTGTCAAATTTCTCAGTGTTCAATTTGGTTACGCTGGTCTGGGGTTACAGTTCAGCAGGCAGCATCTGATGGGATATATTCATCATTATGGGTAATTGCAAAGAGCTTCTGTGTGCCCCGTGTAGCAGGAAAGTGAAGGATGAAAGAGGAAGATTGGTTCAGAGAGAAGACGAAGGAGAAGGAAAATAAAAAAATACAACCCAAAAAACCATTAGAGAGGATTCGCTTGGTTGAGATTATTCATGAAACTGGGAAAAGTGACATTAGAATAGGTGTTCTGTATTATTAAAGTGCCACAATGGCAGAGTGCTAAATATGAGTTCAGATGCTCCCTGGCTGTGTCGTCATAGCAATAGATGATAGGCCTGACATGATTTTTTGTTCTGTATGCAAAAGGCCAGGACAAAATGTGTTTTTTTATTAATTCAGCAAGCAAAAAGGTTTTATCCAATCTTGACTTTTCTTCTGCACCATGATAGAAAAGCTTTTGTTGGATATAGAAAGTTCAATATGTGCCCTTGAACTAATTCTCTAAGCTGGGTAACAGCAGGGTAAAAAAAAAAAGAATCTAAATTATTTTAGTAATTGTGTGTCTGAAATGTATTTTAAAATAAAGGTAGAGGTACTTCATAAAATAAAGATTAAAAAATAAAAACTTGACTGAACGTGATTAATGCTAAAAATTTACTTGAATCAGTCAAATATTTTCCACATATTGAACCAACATATTTTTTCTTTTTCCAAAACCAAATAAAAATATATCAACATTAGCAATGTATTTTGATATGTATAAAAGCTGTCGTTTTAAGAGAGCAAGTCATAAATTTGTATTTCTATTAAGCAGCCTTAAATCTACAAAAAAAAAAAATTTAGCAATACATTTTTATGTTTATATACACTGAAATATACAGTATCCCATCATATTATGAATTAACCTGGACTTTTTAGTTTAAAATGTTACCGTTTTTTTTAAGTTTAACTAAAACAATCTTTATGTTTTATATGTATATTACTATTCTGTATTTTATTACTAGATCATTAATAATCTGGCTACAGTATTTATTTTTGCTAAAAGTGTGATGCAAGATAGTTCATATTTTTTTATAAACGACTGGTACTAATGGGTGGGGTGGGTGGTTTCTTTCATCTCAAGCTTAGGGGTCCTTTGCAGTATCTTAGCTGTCCCTGGAACTGCACACTTCCAGACTAAGATGTCTGATGGTTCTCCAGGTGTCTGTTGGAGCCATTATTTCATTAAAAATGATTAAAAGGGATTGAAGTATATACACAAATTAAAAAATCATGGAGTTATAAAGAAATGGTTGGATTTTAAAACAAAAACACATTAATAAGATGCCTTTCATCGTCCAGGAAACACAGTAACTCAAAACTATTGCATATAAAACATGTTGCCACAACACTGCTAGACAAACCCCAAAGCAAGCCATTAACAGGTAACAATTAGTTTTCATTGGAAGTGTAGCTCTAATGGGAGCGATTAGTCCATCACAAGGTGTATTATAGCAAAACTAAGCACATGACCCATCTGGGTCAGGAGAAATGGGAGTAGAGCAGGTGTACTCACCCAGAGGGGGGCTTCAGGTAGGTGGGCAGGCAAACAGGCATTTGACACCCTTCTAACCACATGGGGCCTACGTGGTTGCCAGCTGGTGCTGCACCATGCATGAAAAGTCAATGTTTCACATGGAGAAGAGGAACTGCAGGTGATGCAGCTGCTTTTTTTAACCCAGAGGCTCCATGCAGGAAAAAATGCTCTATTTAAGTCTGTCTTCTACTTCCGTGATGTTCAGCCTACAGAGATTCCCTTCCTTTTAAGAAAGTCCAAAACCAGCTATTCACTTGTTTTTTTTGTTTTATTTTATTATAAACCAGCAACTCGATTCTGTGGAAATGTGTTGATTAAATTAAAGTTAATCAAATTATGTTTAAGGAGGAAAATGTGGGCTTGAAAAGTCCCTGAGCCAGGCTGGATATTTTTTTACTTTATTCTTAGAATGAGAATTATTAACGAGAGCATCTATATTTTTTTTTTTATAAATTCTTAGTTATATGCCCAAAGGTATTTATTTAATTTTACCCTTTTATTGTTTTTTAAAAAGGCAACATAAAAGGATAAACTTATTAATTGTTATGTTTTATTCCTGTAAGGAATGGGAACAGTTTTGCTCTTAACCAAGGTTATTCTTCTAAAAAGGGGCCTTAGGTACAGCTTAGCCAGATGGAGCTGATTTATCTCAGGGAGCTGAGGAACTTTTCGTGTCCGCTGTTATACATACATTTCCTCAAAACACTAAGTAAAGCTTTAGCCATTTTTCAGGTCATCACTGCTCTGTATACTTAGAAAATTATAACTTTAAAACTGAGACTGTTCATTTTCCTGGTTAGAACTGACAATAGGGCAATCACAATCACTGACAAACTTCATTGTTCTGGCAGCTCAGCATTAGTGACTAAAACGCTCCCCGAATCAGTTGAATATACTTACATGGACAAGTACAGCAAATTCTAGGCTTTTTGAGAAAGAAGAAAGCAAAAGCTCATCAAGCAGATCCTTAAAAAGAAACTGAAAGGAGAAATACGAAAGCCTGTTGTGTTTCATAGTTTCCTTTGAATATCAAAGAGTCTTTTGTGCCTCAAAAATCTTCCAGTGTGAACTGTAAAGGGGCACTTTAAAAGGCTAATTTCCACAGTGAGAGGTTGAACCAGTGATGAAGGAAGAAAAAAAGGACTGGAAAGTTTCTGACCATGCTTTCATATTTTTTGTTTATTTTAGAGTAATAGACATGAATGAGTATAAAAGACATTAAGTGTTAGCTTGAAATTTCTATTTCAGTGAAATTCAACTGATGGCTGGAAATAAATGTCTTTAAGTTCTGTTTTTAACACCAATAGGAGTTAAAAATGACCCATGTAGCATAAAAAATAGGTCCAGAGAATGTGTGAATTGGAAGACTATGAGTAGGGTCCATTTTTAGAAAGACTGACTGTAGAAAAGGCTCTAAACTGTATTGATAACATCCCTAACACCTTATAGCAAAGTTTACTCAAAAAATGTTGAAGATAGGGCTCTGGCCAATTGTTAAATCAAGTATCAATAAAGAGCTGCATGGTTTTATCTTGGCTTTGAAACTGCATCAAATTTTTAACAGCAATCCTTGGTTGAGTTGTCCAACATGTCTGCTACTTTTCAGGTAGGTATTGCCAAAGAAGCATTGGGTCTCGGGTTGAGTGGGGAATTTGAAAGACCCAAATGAAGAGATGGAATCTGTGGTTTCTTGCAGATTTTATTATTCAATAAGGTGGCGACTGAGGCAAAAATAACAAAAAAACAGAAAATCAAAAACTAGAAGATATCAGGGAAAACACAAATGAGGATCAAGAAATAACTGCACAAAGAGAATATATATGGGAGACAGAACAAAGACTAGTCTAATGAACTGACAAGAAGCAAGTGTGGATGGAAGCATCTAGAAGGGAGCAAGGGGAAGGAGACTGACACAAGGGGGCAACAGACTGTAAACAAGAAATACATAAGAACTCAACAAATACATCCAAAAACAACTGGAATAAGACAAAATGGAAATTAAACCAATGAAAACTCCAATGAAATCTGCCCTTGTTATAGCCAAACCAAAGCAAAAGCCTGTTGCCCTTCTATGCATTCCTTGAAACATGTTGCAAGTGTAGCGATGCTTCCTTTTGATGCTGATGTTTTGACGGGCTCTTCATGATTTACCTGCATCATTTTTTATTTTGCAAATCAGGATGATTTATCATGACATGGTAGTGTAAAACAGCCTTCTTACAGTAATGTGTACATAGTATTCAGTGCGCTGAGAGATGGTACACGGGTAACAAAATGTGATTATGAATTTCCCTTATCCTGCAACATTTGTTGGTAGTTATTAAAATAGTACTGTAGGGGTAAAAATCTGTTTGTACAGGGTTTGAAATCAACTGGTATGAACAGAAAAAAACAGGGATCAGCATGTCCTCTCCTTGGGGAGTCCTTGCGTGCAGTAGGAAACTACTAGTTCGACCTTTTAATAGTCACACCAGCCTGCATGCATGCATCTGTTAACCTCCTGCACATCAGGTGTCCATGTCAAGCCAGAGGCCACAGAGAGTGCACACACGCACACACACATGCCAACACCGGGTCTGCTGCACGCTAAGGGAAACTGTGGGTGGGGGGCTTCTTTCATTTGTCAACAGGATGAAGAGCAGAGATGACAGAAGCTGGAGCATTAACTCTCCTCTGGTCTGGCTCTGGGATTTCCTCCACTGTACATAGAAGGGAAACACAGAATTGTATAAATAGATTTTTACCCTCCATACCCTCCTTAAAATGCTGCTCTGGTCTCAGAAGAGTGTTGATTTCATCTGTTCTGTGTGTGTTTTCTTTCATCCATGTGGATCTTTGTTTCACTTGTATTTTCCCTCTCACCTCCCACAGGGCAGCAATAACATTAACAAAGCATCTTGATGCTACGTAATTTGTAGATACAGGGCGTTTTTTTGTGTGTGTGTGTGATGCCTGTTTTTAGCAGTATTATGACTGCAATTTAAAAATTCTAGCATTTGGAAATGTGTATTTCCTCTCACCCTTTTGCTTTAGACTTTATTGTAGCCTGGATGATTGAGAGGCTGAAACTCATTTTGATTTCTCCACCCCTCCCAAATGTGGTGTCTGCAGGGTGGAAAGGAGCCAACCAGTCGGCCCACCAAACAAGCTACTGCTGGAAGAGTGCCTGTCTGCTGTGCAGGTGCCCACCCCTGAGCTCATCCAGGGCTACGTCAAGAAGGTAGGGCCGCTTTACAAATGCCTAGCTGAAGGTTGTGTTAGATTGTATTCAGCTAGAGAGTGGAAAGTAGGGAAAAACGGATAATGGAGATAGTGGTGGTGGCGGAGGTAGGGGTATAAAGGCTTATCTCGTAAACAGGGGAGTGTAAAAAAAAAAAAAAAAACTGTTTACTCGGGTGAATAAGATGCCATAAACTCAAAAATTCTACCAGAATGTGCCACTGTGTTGGTGGGGGCTTATTGAAAATCAATAAGGAGCAAGAAAAATTAGCAGTAGTGTTTTTTCTCAAGGAAAATCTAAGGTATCCAACACAAAGTCCACACATTATGTTATCTGTGATAAAGTAAAATGCACTGAAAATAAAGTGTCGGATTTGCCTTATATAACAGTGGACACTGGTTGCACATCAACCAGTGACATTTTGAAATGGTGGGCAACTCCACAGAGTTTGGTTCTGCAACCTTTGGATTACTAAGTGTATCTAGCTGTTGGAGTTTGAATCTGGATCTAGTAAAATTAGTTCAGAGTTCCAGGACGGACAAAGTCCCGGATGTTGTTCTCGCCCCTTCTGTCACAACCCAATCAGTCCCGGAAGCATGATCATGGTACTAAAATTACTTATTTCTATCCTTAACTCACTAATGAATGCTAATACACATCTTTAAAAATGTTTTCTTTTCTGATACAATTTTGATGCTTTTTACATTTTCTCAATCAAACTGCTTGTCTTACATCATCATCGGACATGCTCAGAGCAGCCCGGCAGAATATGATGAAACCATGTTTATCTGCATTTTGGTTGTTTCTTTCTTTAGGTTACGCACGAAAACATTTAACTCAAAAAGAATAGGTTTATTTTTTGTTAAAATGAGGACGATTTGTCCCCTTGGAAGAAAAGGCTGTAGCGCCGGGGGGCCTCCTCACCGGTTCTTTTCCTGGGAGCAAGTTATTTACTACTCTTAACTCAAACTGGGCAAAACCATATAAAAAGGACTATAAAAACAGGAGTAAAAAATGACAGGGTTTATTCCAGATCAGGTCGTTACAGGACAGAGAAAAAATGCTTAGAGCTTGCACAGCTGTGGGCTCAAAAATCACGTCCGCGAGCGTTTGGCAAAGTTTGAGCCCCGAACAACGTCATCACCTGCTTCTTATAGCTCATGGGTCTATGTATTGCATCATGTTGATGTTGAGCTGGCCGTATCAGAAACTGACACGCCATCCATGTCTTGAACTTCATGCAGCTTGCTTCTATGCTTCAGGGTTACAGATACAATAGCTCTCCTATCAGACCGGCTCCAAGATGTGCCCATATCCTGTGTACTCTTAAAGACACAAAGGCTGTCTAGATTAGATGACCTCCGTACACACCGTGACATCCACACTGTGAAGGAAGGCCTTCTGCTCTGTCTAATCTGACTAACAAAGTAACAATGCACATGATGTATAAAGAATAAACCTAAGAGTTTAAATCCAAAGCCAAAACAGTTGGCTCTCGGAAGAAGCGTAGGATCACATTTCCAGCATACATCGGGCACAGACTAGTGTTTTAAAAAAAAGGATTTTAAGGCATTTATTTTCTCAAGAGATACATTATTAACCTTTAACACATTATAGTTTATTGCGCTTGAGAGGGAAAAAACCCCCATCTAAATTACATTTAGCTTGCTCTAAATACTCACAGATCTATTGGCTTTTCAGGCCTCTGCACCTTCCTCATTTCTTTTAAAAATCATTCCATCTTTTATAAAAAATCTAAATGACAAAATACATTAACCTCTTAGTTCTGTTTTCTTTGAATATAGGAACCACTTTGGATCTTATCAACATCTGGGTACTTAATATAAATGCGCTGTTTAAATAATAAATGTTTATATTTGCTTCCATGGTGTATGTGGAAAGTCTTTTAGGGAGTCTATATAGTTCGCTGAAATCCATGGAGATGAGATGCCTCTGAACACTTGGGGTTAAGCTGCCAGTAAAGTACCAGCATTATCTTAAAAGAGTGACAATATAATGATTATTTTATGTAATTGCCACTTTAACTACAACAAAACATGGAGGAGGTTGAAACATGTGGGTGCTTCAGGAGATGTCAGTAATAAGTACAAGGGAAATTCTAAAGGCTTTGATTTTGTTGCCAATCTGGCAAAATGCAAACACCCATCAGCCAAAAAAATAACAGGTAAATAACTGTTTTCATTATGCCAGCGTTCGTTTGCATTAGTTTAGCTGTGAATCCATCAGGTTAGGATGTAATTCTCATCTGTATATGCATGATTACAAGCAGTAGAAGAATTGTCTGGAGTATTTAGAAACAAAAAAATCTAATGAGAAAAAAAAACAAAAAACAGACAACATATTTAAGCACAATTAGCAGAAATGTATTTTCCTTTTAGTTAATAGATTGTACAAAGCTTTGAACTTTGCTGAGTGCAAGTCAGATGACATGACACTTTCCTTATTATTTCTGCTGTGATTTGAACACATTCCACCAATGTTAGAATGTGTCATTTTGATAAAAAACAAAAACAAAAAAAAAACATATTCTTAACCTTAAAGTAAAAGAAGCTTCACAACAATGAGAAAATACAAAATAAAAAAATAAAAAAAAGTAACCATGCATGGATTGTTTTAATTATCCATAACCCCTTAACATCACCATATAAAAAGCTATTAAATTATGCTAATCATGATAAAAATTTAAATTATTAACAATAACATTTCCCTTGTATTTTTTATTTCTCAATGATTGTAGCATGAGTTTTTTTTTATTAAAAACTAAACCATAAATAGTGTTAAAAATTTTCTTTAAGATCAGAAAAAAAATAACCTAAATTATAATCAAGTAAGAGAATTTAAATGTGAGAGATAATACAATCTTATCTGATCAGATCTGATATGATATTATTTTTTAATTCTATTGTTTAGTGAACAAGCCCGAAAATCTGCTAACTCATGTTATCTTTTAGTCTAATATATTGCAAATTTGGTGTTGGCCATCAAAGCTGTGCTGAAAGGTAGTACAGAGAGTATTGGGTATATATCTTCTGTAACCATGAGTGGTTCTAAACAGGGGCCAACGGGGGCCAGTGCCCCAAAACAACTGGTCATGGCCCCTGTTATGTCCCCTGTACCTAAGGACATAATTCAAACTATGCACTGGTGAAACACCATATGCAGATTGGTCCCTTGCATATTTCTCACAGTCTTTAAATTTGTTTGGAACTTCTACGAACTAACATAGTTTAGTTAAAGGGAAGCTCTTTCATGACCTAACCTTCAATGTTATGCTCTTAACATTGCTTTTTAACACAGTTATTCTATTACTTTACAAGAAACATTGCTAAGATTTCAACATTTTTGGATTTTTGGTTTGTGTCTTATTCAGTCAAGGTTAAGTGAGAATTTCTGTTTGAATGTCAGAATTCCAAAACTGATGAATTTGCCAAATGTTATGCAAGTGCAATTACAGCACTGTTCCTTGCTGTAAACTGATAGATGTGTTTGTTGTGGTGGGGGTGGGGATGGGGTCATATGGCAAAGTTCAACAGGCCAGAACCTTAACCCGTGACAATAGCTTCAAGGAAATTTACCTCTGTAGTGTATGGAAGTGTGGCCGTTTTTTGTCCCTCACATTGTTGTAATTTTAGCTGATCAGGACAGAATTTTTTAAACTGTTGTAAACATTGTTGAGTGCAAAAAGATGAGGTGCCAAACTGAAAGCAACAACACAACTATATCTTAGAAGTCTTCAAGAAAAAAAGACTGTCCTTGTCTGCACATGGTACCAGCTGCAGGGAAAAATAGTGATGGAATGTGTCATTACTTGCTTTTGCAGGAAATTAAAACTTGTTATTAGACTCTTGAAAACCTTGTGATTTACTGTAGGTATTTTTCAAGCATGTGGTGATAGAGCCAATTATTGACAACACAAATATAATAAAAAAAAGTGGCATTTTCTGTACATTGTTCAGAGGTGATGGCAGAACAATTAAATTCAGTTCAATTCTGTCTATTTATTTAGCGCCAATTCACAACACTTGTCTAAATAAGGCACTTTACAATTCACCAGATCATACAGTCAAACTGATTCAAAGTTTTCTTAGGAAAACCAGTTGATTGCATCGACTTATTGACTCAAAGGCAATACCTCACACTAAGCATGCTTGTAGCGACAGTGGAGGTAAGGTGTACTGTGTGATCCTAACGTAGTAAAAGAGAGTAAAGAAGAATAAACAGGTTTGATTTAGGATCCGCCAGCTTTTCTACAACACCATCTGCTATATATATGGTATGGAAAAAATATGGAAAAAAAACTTTCCATACAGGTGATGCATATGTAAATGTCTGAAATGGCTTTTCCTAAGTCTGGCCGGAATCGACATGAGAGATATGTTAAACAGAATAAAGTAATGCACTTAAAACAGCCTTTGTTGTGTGTGAAGCAATTGTGTCATCAAGGCTCTTAAACGCAGTAAAGTCTTAAAGACACACTATCATTATGTATCTGAACATATTGTGAATAAAATGGATGAAAAGCATTTGTTTTTTACTCTAGATAAGATAAAAGTAAGACACAGATTCTTAATCTCCTTTCTGCGATTTAATAATGAAATGGCTGTTTAGCAGCTGTTTTATCAGTGATCACACTGCTGCAAAAAGCTAGTTTGAAAATTAATTTGGATGATATAAAGAAGATATTTCCTATGTTCCTTTCACTTTTGCTTTGTTATATCCTTATGGTTAAGTCCTCCTGCCCGATATCTATATTTTACAGACCAGGATGTAGATAAACGTTTCTCTCCTGAACCTTTACATACATTTTGCCCTTCGATTAGTCATGCAACCACAGTCCTGTAGGACCTCATTACTGTTTGTTATCATTTTAATCTTCTGAGCTGCAGGAGGAACAGGAAGCCTTTCTAGAAATCTATTAAAGAGGAAGTGGACATGGATGAGTGGCTGAGGATTGAGGAACAAAGAGCGTTTTCCTATTT